GGCGCCTCGGTGAATAACTTGAACTTCGCTACCTGCTGCAAATTGGCGAAGCCCTCGGCATTCGCGTGCCCCCCTCGGCACAAGTTGAAGCTTTGGAAGAAGAGGTCCAAGCTTGGGGTAACATCCCTCGTCCGGAACAGGTGCAGAAAGCCAGCAATGTATGAATGGCTGTTGGGGGTAAGTTGGCAAGGGATGAGTCCAACGAACCTGAGGTACTCCCGGAGAAATGGGTGCAGGGGGAACCGGAGGCCCATTGACACCGACAGGATGTGGACGGCAATGCATCCCTCGGGTGGCCGGGACAGCAGATCATCGACGCCTGGCTCCACCACTACGGCCGAGGGCCCAACGTGCAGCTGCGTGACGTACAAATCAGCCCTGTCCGCCTTCGACTTGATATCGAGGGCCTCGGTGTTTAGCCAGGTATACCCCTCTGGCATTTCAACAGGCCCCCCAGCACCAGCGGCAACACCCTTCTTCTTGGGGGCAGCCCTCTGCGACTTCATCTTCTTTATACCGGGTGCTATTCTCAGAGGCGTCGGGTCCAACGGCCTGGAGGTACTAGGCTCACCACAGTCAGTCCGAGGGGGTGGCACAGCAACAGTAACCGTCATCGCCTCCTTTTGGGCTTCGTCCTCCGCCACCTGATACGCGAGGGCTAATTCTTCGTCTTCGCACTCCTGTTCGAAGCCCTCGGCTTCCACTTCAGCAGCAAGGGCCTTCTGCAACTCCAGGGCTACGACTTCGTCATCAGCAACCGAGGGCGCACTGCTACTTGACTCAACATCGGAAGCAACCTCGTCCTCAACCGAGGGCTCCCTCGAGATATTCTGCGAGTCGCTTTGGGACGACATCCTTGCTGTACTTAGGCTAAGATTCCTAAATCGAGGGCTCTCTACAAGGCTATAACACCTAACCTAAGGCCAGGGAGCAAAAGCTAACGAAAAATGGTGAGAAGCGAAGGGAGAACTAACCTCTGAAAGTGCTATGACCGAAGGCTTGAGTTTCTCTCTCTAGAATTTTTGGCAGAGCTTCGCTAAGGATTTTGGACGCGTAAGGAAGAAATGGCTCTGGCTCCGGGGTATTTATAGACCCCAGAGTCCGGGCTTGGGCCCGAAAACTGGGCCTCCGGATGGACGCCATCATTACACACCGCGTCTTCGCCCAACCAGTGATGCCGCCCACGGACAGCCAGCCATCACACGCCACGTGTACCCCCCCCCCCCAACGGCTATAAACCTGACGTTACATATTCCAACGACTATATTTCCAACGGCTATATTCTGGAAGCCCCTGGGTTTTCTACTTCACTCCACTTCATCAAGGATAGCCTCCGGGTACACTAACCCAGAAGCGCCCCCGGGTTGTGCCCCACACAGCACATAACAGACGCCTTCGGGATCACTCCTTCAGAAACCCAGGGCTTCATATCAGGGCACCCCTCGGGGATTCCCCCTCAGCACTGCAAAACCGGGTAGCCCCCGGGGAGTTGCCTCATTGACGGATAACCCATGGCACACAAGTAATGGGAGCCCTCGGGTATCTTCATCACCAACTAATCAACGAACAGTGGACCCCCCGGTAACAACTCCACTGCTGCCCTCATCCAGCAGGCCCTCGATCCCCGGATTGAGGGGCTCCCCTTCGGCACCCCCAGGACATCAACAGCAAGCCTTCGGCTAATCAACACATGAGCCCTCAGAAGAAGAGCCCTCGGCATTACCGTTGTTCTCCATTTTTGACCAAGGTTTGACATTTTCGATTCATCATTGGGGGAATCCGGTGCACTCTTTTTCCCTCATTAGGATTTTTTCCCACAGGGTTTTTTTTCTAATGAGGTTTTTAACGAGGCATCCCCCCAAAATGAAACGAAAAGCGTCAGCCTTCAGCTAATCAACAGCAACGCAACTACTTTACTCCTTTTCACCACTTTACAAGTGTCTCAAGGAGTGGGGACTGGGGAACCCCCTCGAGAAAAACATTAAATTACAAAACTAGTGAAATTCCAAACAAACTACAAAGCAAGCCCTCAAGTCCTGACATGTGGGTAACTGAGGGACTGCCTTCGGCAGGGACATAAAAGCAACAACTCCTCACCAACTTCAGAGGTTACGACAGGACAACGTCAAAGGGCAAGCACAAATTACTCCTTTTCCCTCAAGTACCTTTCGGCAAAAGGAGTGAGGGACTCCTGATGGAGTATATGGCCCGAGAACCCCCGGCTCACAGACTCCTACTACTCCAGCGAAGGCCCAACAGGCCCGAAAGGCCCAACAGGCCCAGATCACAGCACCCAGAGTACCAAGCAGCCCGCACTACGCGCCAGGGGTGCCTTCGGCCCCCTGGCCGAAGGCTCTAAACTCTCACAGAACGGGTTTCTCAAGCAAATTAAGAAACTGGGAGAAAAACGACGAAAACAGTAGCCCTCGGCACTGTGAGCCCTCGGCACCAGGGTGCCATCGGTTGGAGGAGCCCTCGGCTACTGCTCTATAGCCGAAGGCATCTCACTCGACAAGATATCCGCCTCACATGCGTACAGATCACCGTATCCTGCACAGACGTCCCATCCAACAGCCGCATTAAATGCGGCCACATGCGGCTGCCAACGCCAACCAGTTGAGGTGACCCCTCGGCCAATAGGCGCTTGACACGTGTCCCTGCCCGACATTTATTGCTACTATAAATAGCACCCCATTTCCCCATTTGTAACCACGCTGAAAACGCTCCACATTTATAATACACTCTCTCTACATTTACTTGCTCTGACTTCTCTCTAAGTTATTCCCCGCAATAACCCTTCGGATATATACCCCCGGGTAGACTATCCATCAATAGTTATCTTGATAAGCATTTTGTGTGCATATCGGCTCGCTGAAAAATACAACTAAGAAATTTAATTAGGAATAGCAATAAAAAGGTCATCTCATTTGATAGAGGAAATCAATGTACAAAAAAATAGCATCCGTATGACTATTTAAAAACATACTTTTATAAAATCTTTGGCGATTCTTGATTTTTTGAAACTGAAAAATCTTTGAAAATGTTGTAGATGTTTGTTAAAAAAATAACTATTTGACTTGATTTGTTTGGTATACCAACCTGTTATGTGTAAATGTGTAATTAATGTTAAAGCTGGAGAGTTTGTCTGAGAAGGTACTCGATGCAACTTAATTTTTTAAAAGTTTTTAAAATTGTTGTACCAAACGTTTCGACTAAAAGCTTTTTGATGTTTTTTGAACGGTCCAAAAATAGAATGAAGGGATTTATGTGTACAAAATATGCACCTGATCTATTTAAATTTGTAAGTCAAATATTACGTGTAGTGTATTATTGTCGAAGAGTAACATAGTTTGATTTGTTCAAGTACTTTCAAGTTTAATTTGATGCGGGATTGAGAATGTTCCAACTTCAAAGAGAAAACATCTCAAAGGTCTGAATTGGGTGACATGGGAAGAAGGCGACCACCCGGTACAAGAAAGAAAAGGAAAAAGAAATAGAGAAATATAGAGTCAAAGTCCAGCTGGAATAAAATAAACTAAAAAATGAAAAAAAGCATTTAAAATAGCCACGTGGACTGTCCATGTGGGATTCGTGTATGGTACAGTCGGCTGTACGGTGCTGACCGTACAACCGGTGGCAAACTTGTAATTATGATGAAAATCACGGATCCTCTTAAATGAGCATTAAATCAATTTTGATGAGTACCGAACCTGGTCTTTTGAGTATTAGGATCCTAACGGTGAGCATTAGTGATATATGCTTCATTCCTCATATATCACATTCTGTTTGTTATTATTTCGTTTATTAAAGTATTAAATAATATCTATAATCAATTTCATCTAATTTCAATATGTGAATCTAATGGATTATGATATGTTTATATGTGCAATCTTTTAAAATGAGCATAAAACAGTACCAAATGAGCATACATAACTTCCAAAATGAGTATCAAAATATTAAAAACTCATTTGTGTGTGCTCATTCATTTTGGGAGGTATACTCATTTGAGTTATACTTTTGAAATATGCTTGAATATGACATTTTAATATGAGTATTGCACTAATATCAAATGAGTATACATAAATTACGAAATGGGTATTCAAAAAAATCAAAAAACTCATTTAAAATGTGTACTATGCTCAGAATTTCTTTTGTGTATGCGCATATATGTAAAGTATGTATAACTTGGGATTCTCCTAAGTTGCAACCAAACAAGTTACCAAACTATCAAACCTAAAAAGGGAAAAATGAAAAGAGTTCAAAAAAAGAAAGACTCCAACTAGCCCTATACATCTCATCAGAACCGTCATCTACCCAAACTGGAGTCCAGACTCCAAAGTCTGAGGTGATGCGGAGTCTGGCGAGTCATTTGTGAACGACGACGAGCAAAGAGCTTCCGGTGAAGAGTGGAGTGTGAGCGAAGTGCGAACATCAATCTGCGATGGAAGCTTACGCTGGATCTGCGAACTAAAAGGCCGATTGTACCATGTGCACAGTACAACCCGTTGTACGATGGAATTTACCGTCCATGTGGGCAATTAACAGGAGAACTTATTTTAAACATGCTAAACAACTCAATTGAGTTTTTTGTACAAGTATAAGGACTCAATTGATTGATTTTAAAATACGAGGACCTAATTGACATTTTTGACATAGTAGGAAGACCTATTTGACTGGTTTTCCCTAATAAAAACTGATAAATACTTAATTGTAATAATAATAATGACGACAACGACAACGACAACAACAAAAATAACAACAACAGAGAACACAGACAAGATGAGGAGAAAAAAAAGTAAGACAAAAAAGATAACATAAAGATAAATAAATACTCCGTATAAGATAACAATAACATAAGAATATAAGAAATATAAAAGATAAAAAGATAAAAGAACATAAGAATAATAATTTGTGATCCATCACTCGCATTGTTATTTAATAATCCGTAATAGATAAGGTGCATGGCTGCGATTTTTAAGAAGTAAAAACTATGAGGCACATATAGAACAAGCGCTCTTGTTTTCATTGTTTAGTGGGTTGAGTGCACGATGTGAGATGCAAGTATGCAACTATGCAAGCTACATATTCAAGTACACTGTGACAAAGTGTACATTCTTCATTCTTGCCTTCATAACTTAGTGGGTCGAGTACACGAGTGAAGGGGAGTCCGTGATTTCGAATCACGTGCATAGCAACTATTTTGGTTGAGTTTCGTAAAAAGGGGAAAACAGATGACTACCTAAAAAATGGATAAAAAAACTGGGTGGATGAAACATGGATTGCAACCACATTCTGGTTGTAAACTAATCTGTGTAATTCAATAATGAGACAAATTAAGAACTAGGTTTCATATCAAAGACTTACAATTGAAAATAGAAGGAACTTTGGAAGTCCAAAAGGTCGTTTATAGGTTTGCCTCCAAATTCACATTACTTGATTCCTTCTCCCTCCAAATTGCTAGTACTTCGTCAGTTCTAAACCTTTGTGTGAATGTAGATTCCTCTATAGGGGTCGACGTTCCATGGGCATAAGCTAGGAGGCCGGTATAGGCAATCATCGCCCCATTGTCAATGCAGTATCTGTCATCAGTTGCATACAATCGCCCGTCCCTCTCAGAGCACATAGTTTTCATCATCTCTTGCAACCTCTCGTTGCATCCCACACCACCAACAATCAATACATCCTTCTTATCACAATGTGCCATTGCCCGTTCTGTAATCTCCACAAGCATTGCAAACAAAGTCTCCTAATGGAATTGCAAACAAACACATCAATTATCAAATGGTTTGCTTTGTGATTCTGAATCATGAGCAAAAAGACTTTGCACTGATATACAAATTCAAAAAAAAAATAGGTTTTAAATACTACGTATGTTATTTGTCATGTACATATAGTTTCTTTTTGTTTCAGATCCTGTAAAATTACTTTCCTGATCAAATTTGGAATTTATGTTATTTTCTTTTTCAATCCATCCCGGTAAAACTTTATTAAATAATTGAATTGGATAAGAGAACTTTAACACTTTTCCATGTTATCTGTTTTTGTACTTTGAAATGTTTTATTTACATAGTTAGCGACATAAATTGCAAGAGAGAATGACAAGTCCAGCTTAAGCCCAAAGTTACTTTTTCAGGAATAGCCCAAAATTACTTAACACTCCACTCTCCAGTGAGTTACAAAAGGTTGAATGGGAAGGCCAGAGCCATGCCAGTTTTCTTTTTCTTCCTTTTTTTGGACAAGGATTGATAGAGGACTAAAAAAAACACAAATTACAAATATGAATAACAAAATATAATTGTACAGTGACCTAAAAAACATATACGGAGTATATGTCTAGACCAAAAACATATTTAAGCCTAGTTTAGCCTAAAAGTGAAAATGGAGTGGGACAATTATTAATTTCAAGCATCAAGGCTGTTACCTGTAAAGAGTAGCAAAGATCTGCAGGAGAGCACTCATTCTTTTTTAGCATCTCTTCAGCGGTAGCTTCAATATAGCTTAATATTCCACTGAATGAAACGTCCATGCCTTTTACTGCATATGGAAGTTCAATAAACTTTTCACCTTTCTTCGCAAGCTGTAACAAAGAACAAATTAGCCATGTTCATGTCATTGGCATTACTTCCAAAGTTTCAATCTTATATCCACTATCACTAACCTTAAAATATATACTGACTCCAGCAAAGGTAAACATCTTGTAACCATGGAAAAAGAGAAGCAATGGAGGTATTGTACACATTTCTAATCATCACAAACTGATAATACTGTTTTTTTTTTTGCATTTTTGCACATCACAATAGTTAAATTGCTATAAAGTGTTTCTTCCTTTTAAAGTAGCTGATATGTTATGAGGAATCCAAAAGTTTGAGCTTTTGAACAACATCCAGGCTTGTTTTATGTGAAAGAGGACTATAAATGGAACAAGTTAATAAAAGTTGCCCATAGAACGTTATGTATTAGTGCTCTTCCATAAATTTCATTTGTTCTTATATTAGGACTAAACAAATCCTACTTTGGGATTAAAACATACTTCGTAATTAGTAGCTTTTGTGAAGTTCGACCATATTTTACTAAGGATGTTTTTTATTGGTCCCAAACTCAACCAAACTAGACCAGATCAAACTTGAACAAATCGGATCAAACCAAACTTTGACAGTTATAAAATATACATACAATAAATATCTACTAGACCAGGGCAAAAAATTACAATCTAATTAAAAACATTCTAATTTCTTAAATTCTTTAATAGTTCAAATGGATATGTCTGAAGAAGTCTATTATATACAGTACTTTCCAGCAGCTAATAATTCACCTGTTCAATGTTGTACCCAGGGCTCGGATCATTGGATAAATTCAAAACCCTAGCAAATCGGTCCAAACAATTTCCGACAGCGATATCAATTGTCTCCCCAAAAATCCGGTACCTACCTTCACTATAAGCTATGACTTGAGTATTCCCACCACTGACGTACAACACTACCGGGTCGACAGCTCCGGTCACAATCCTGCCCATCTCAATATGCGCAACGCAATGATTCACCGCAACTATGGGCTTCTTCCAGAGTTGGGACAGGACGCGGACGACCACGGCTGAGACCTGTAAGGGTGCGCCCATTCCCGGGCCTTTGGTGTAACAGATGCAGTCGATGTCGTCCGGGGTTACTTCGGCGGTATCTAAGGCAGATTTGACGAGAGGGAGGACGTGCTGAAGGTGGTGCTGTGCGGTTTCGCGGGGGAGGAAGCCCTGTCCCGGCGGAGTGATGTAGGTTTTGCGGGGGTTGGAAAGGATTGAGCCGTCGAGGGATACCACTCCGATGCCGATTTTATTCGCAGAGCCCTCGAAGCCAATGGATATTAGCTTCTTCTTTTCCTCCATTGTCGGTCGGAAACTTGGCAGTCAGTGATCGCGAGCTGCCGGGAAGCCGAATCAGACGTTTGGGTTTTAGAGCATAGGCGCGATTACTACAGCAGGGCTTTCAGTTCCTTTAGTTTGAGTACCCATACAGCCCATTAAGGCCTAAGACCATTAAAGAACACTAACTTATTTTCTTCATCATATTTACATTATTTTAAAGTATAATATTCCTTTCCTCCCAAATTGATTTGTAAAATTTGATTTTTTGGGTCAAACGGATTCATTATAATAATCACTTAATTATGATATCAATTCTTCATTAAATTTTAATTTGGATTTTGCAATTTTATAGAGATTTTAATGTAGTTTCTAAATATGTAAATTGTAGTTATTAAAATTGAAGTATTAATCCTGGTTGACCAAAAAATGTTGACTTTTCAAAACAAATCGGGACGTAGGTAGTAATATAATATACATTACAACATGCTGAGTCCCTATATCCTACATTTGAGTGTACGTACATTCAGTCCAACTAAGAAAGAGCTCATTAACTAATACCCGTAGTACATGCTAAACAAAATTTGGTGGCATTTTTATAATTTCACCGAAAAATCACGGCTTCCGTTAAATGAGCATTAGCGTACTTTTAGTGAACATCAGACCTATTTATTGAGTATTAGGAGGCTAACAATGAGTATCACGATATCTGCTTCATATCTTCTAATTCAATTTTTTTTCTTTAATACTTCCTTCGTCCCTTATAACTTTGGCAAGTTTGACCGACACTGAAATTAATAAAGTAAAAACTGTGTGGCTGAGGTTTGTGCAGATGAGAGAGAATTAAATGGAACCACAAATTCTTTATTTAAAGGGGAAAGTGACAAAGTTAGTGGGACGTCCAAAAAAGGAAAGTTGACAAAGTTTTAAAGGATGAAAGGAGTAAAAAAGTACTCCCTCCATCCCGCCAAGATTGTCTCATTTTACCTTTTCAGGAAATCTCACTAAGATTGTCCTATAGCAAAATTTGGTAAAATTTGTATGGTTCTAAATGATTTGTACTTTATTCTTACTTTATCAATTTAATATCAACCACACAAACTCACTTTTTTAATAATCATGTCATCTTCTCCCGATCTTAGTGGGACGAAGGTAGTATTAAATTATATATATATATATAATACATTCCTATGGATTTCAATATGCGAATTTAATGTAATATGCTATTTTTGAAATATGCATTGATATGACATTTTAAAATGAGCATAACATCAGTGCCAAATGAGCATACGTAACTTACAAAATGTTCATTGATATAAAAATCGGAAGGTTTGTTAGTTTCACATAACGACATTTTCATTGAGCATCAAACATCCTCTATTGAGATGAAAATCACAGTTTAATGTGCATCGGGCCTATTATGCTGAGTATTAGGAGTCTGATATTGAGAATCGTGATCTCTACTTCATAACTTCTAATTCACTTTCTTTTTGTTATTTGTTCTTTATAAAAACTTATTAAATTTTATCTATGATCAACTCCTATGAATTTCAATGTGAAAATATAATGTAATGTAATACTTTTGAAACATGCATTATATGACATTTTAAAATGAGAATAACATTAATATCAAATGAGCATACGTAACTTACAAACTGAGCATTAATATGAAAATTGTAAGTTTTGTTAGTTGAGCATCGAGACATTTTCAATAAGCATCAAACCTCCGCTATTGAGTGCTAGAATCGTGTGATTAAGTATCATGATTTGTGCTCTCATATCTATAATCAATTCCTGTGTAATAAGGTGCTTTTGAAATATGCATTGATATAACGTTTTAAAAATGAGTATAACGACAATACCAAATGAGCATACATAACATACAAAATGATTATCTAAAAATTCAAAAAACATTCATGTATGTCCATTCCTTTTAGGCATATACTCATCGGCGGATTAATCTTCCATCTTATTTTCGGGGTGCACTTTACGGTCTTCAAGGCGACATTTTCTTGGCTACATTATTTTTGCAGAAGATCAAAATAGGAACACCTTCGAGATTGAACCTTGGATCTGCCCTCCATGGGTGATTTGGATTCCTCCATTTTGGCTCGTCTCCGATCCCACATAAGCCCTAGCCTGAGCAGTGCAACATCGTCATTGGCAAATGAAGCTTCCAGCTTTTTGTATATTAGAGGCTCAACTCTCACACGATCAGGGCACCAGTTGAGGGAGGCCGTTGGAACGATCAACAGGGGCGGACCGTAGTACACACCCAGGGGGCAACCGCCCCCAACAAGATTTTTTTAGTGTGTGTGTGTGTGTGTATATATATATATATATATATATATATATATATGTGAAAAATAATTTTCTCCCTCCCAAAAAATATTTTGAACCCCCAAAAAATATTTTTGCCCCCCAAGATGACTTTCCTGGGTCCGTCCGTGACGATCAGTGTCAGCCAAGAAGAGGATGAGATTGGAGCTTAGGCTATGAACTTGTTGAACTCCTCATCGAATGTTTCTATGGTAGTATCAAAAAAATTGTGAGACATATCTTCTCTTTTTTATGTTCCCATGGGATTGCGCAGATGTGTCTCTCTAAAGTGACAACTCACTTGGATTTAGGCTTAACGTTCCATCTTGTTACAAAAACACCGAGTGTACATGTACATATATATGTGTATCTCTTATAACTTGCGCAACATGTTGGGGTAAATATTATTATATAAAAATATAGAAACTAATGTAACATGAAGATTGAACATGAAGATGAGTTAAATGTCTAATGTGTTGAGTTTTCACTTTTCAAAGATATGAGAAGTTTTAAAAATGGAATTATATTTTAGGATATAATACGTAAAATCAACATATATGTGAATCTCTCAATTTGTATCGACGATATCTTATGAATTCTAAAAAAACTGATCTTGAGCTATTGATTTTATAACTTGAACTGCATGCACTTGTGATTTGTATGACAAAAAAGATATCAACTAAGAAAATTATACAAAAGAAAATAATGAAATAAAAAAGCTTCCGTATAGTACAAGCATGATGATAGATAGATCATGGTTGTTACTTAGATGTGATATGTAAAGGAGAAGAGAGAATTCTCTAAATAGGAGAAAAAATGTTTTGAAATTCAAAAATAGGAATATCATGTTTTTATTCCTTGAATAGGAGTAAATTTCTGCCAAGTTTGACATTACTAGGCTTTGAAACATGGCATTTTTCTCCAAACTTGGCAGATTACTCCTATTATGGGAATAAAAAACATGATATTCCTATTTGGGAATTTCAAAACGTTTTTGTTCCTATTTAGAGCAATTTCCCGCCTAAGTTTTGGCTCCAAAATTCCCGCCTAAAGTCCATAGAAGTTATATAAACTATAAAGTTAAATAATTAATGACGGGACTCAACAAACTGAGAGCATCGACACATTTCTAAAATAAATGAGTATATGATGTTTAATAATATACATATATAGATGATTTATTTAAGGTGAACCGTGAGGCTAGTCATTTGAGTTATGATCCAATTTAGGAATGCGTTTCTATCTTAATTATGTATTAATAGAAGTAATAATAAAATGTACTAAAAATGTAATGTAACCTCAGTCCCAACCAAATACTTATTAGTATTAACGCAACTATAAAGGATCAACACATATATACCATATATATGTGTTATATATAATATTTGGTTATAGAATGTCCATGAATATAATACTTATCATGGTTCTAATATTTTGACATGATGCATAACATACATAATGGGGGGTTTGGTTAAGAGCTTTTCAGCCATTTTTTGGTTGCTTTGATCATATTTGGCCTTTTGACCAGATCAATCAGCTAATAAAAGTGTTTGAATTGGTTAAATGGCTTTTCCAAATAGCCTTTTGCTCCAAACAGCCAAAAAATAAAACGCCATTAACCCCACCGTTTACAATTAGCCGTTCCCTATATTTCCTAGACTACCCTGGATTTTCCGTTTCTTTCCTAGACTTGTGGAAAAAAAAATCCATCGAAGAGCAAAAGTAAAATTCCCCTAACCTAAATCGTCTTCCGTCTCAGAGCAAAAAAGCAAACACAGGGAGGAAGCCACCATCTCTCCTATAGTTAACTATTTGATCCTGCTCTTTCAAGATTTTTCCTTCTTCACCTAAATTTCTTTGGATATTTGTGTGTGTATATAAGTATGATATATGGTGGTATACCGTGCAGAGATGGATACAGAGGGATTTGGACTGAGGTTGCTTCCTCTTTGTCGTGTTTCTCGACTAATGATCATCTCATAAAAAAGGTCTAAGGAATGGATTAATATTATTATTAAAAGAATTGAGATTTCAAGTGAGGTTGCCTCATCTGTCGTATTTATCTCATAAAAATGTCTCGTTCATCTAATAAAAAAGTATGAGGAGTGGGTTATGACTTATGAATTAAAAAAATAAAGATTTAAGATATGGAATGATTATTAGTTGTCTCAATACATTATACATATGACGTTTTTAATCATAAAAAGGATATAAAAAAGATTTATGAAGCAGTACTAATTACATTAATAAAAAATTAATTGATGTCCAAAAATGTCATTTAACAAGTTATCAGCTAAATATAAACATACACTTAATCAAACATCATTTTACAAACTGCTAATACTATCAGCTAATCAAAACAGCCAACAGAATCCGTTGTCATCAATCAGCTAAAACGATCGACCAACGGCCAACAACCAACAGCCGATTGCCAACGGCCAATATACTACACGCCCAAGTACTTACTCAAACTGATAAATTTGGAGAATTCTTATTTTCCATAGATACCAGGCAACTGTTACTTTTAATAATAATAATAATAATAATATAATAATAATAATAATAATAATAATAATAATTACAACAACAAAAAGAAATGGATGAAACATTATTAGTAGTTATATAACTTGTATTTACTACTACATTTATTCCACTAAGATTGTGACATGGGAAAAGAGTGCACTATTAATATATTTATGTAGTTGATATATATTCATTTATTCATTTATATAATATAAAGTAACAAAGTTGCTATAATTTTTGGAGACAAAATTCCCACCTAATTTTGGAGCAAAGTGTAAAAATAAAGAGTAATGAATTTTGCCATATGTAACGTCATTAGAAATAGTAA